ATGAACCACCATGAATTTTGAGTCCAACTTAGTCCTAAGATTAAGTTACTGTTTCTGTAATCGGTGTTCAGATGGTGATAAATCTCAATATGTTTGACTGTATGCGCTCTCTAAGGTCTAGTCTAGTCTAGTCTCAGCTGTCATACAAATATCTATCAAGTACCGTCTACGGCCAGTCAGAATCTCGTACACTAATTAAGATTCACCAAGAACGGCATATATCCACATGGAAGGTAGATTGATACTATGTATATACAGATGCCCATTAAACTACAAGAAAATATTGACTTTCTTTAATTGATTTACAATATTCTTGGCTTGGCTTGACTTGTAATAAAGTTGAGAACCCATTGAAGATATTTGACAGTAGGTATAGAATAGACTATTACTTTAACAAAAAAGTTGTGGCATAGTAAAAATGTATCTTGTTCCTCGATTCCTAAACAACGACATATGTACTGCAAAAAATTTAATTGATTAGAAAAAACATTAATCAAAACGATCAGCGAGGACGTTCGGAAAAATGTTGATAAACAAGTGACTGATGGTAAGCAATCGGCGTCGCCCATGGACATTACTCATCACTCACACGACGAAACACAACACAAATTGTTTCATGTCGGTTTTCTGTGAAGCCCGGGGTTTTTTTATGGAATAGGAGGCAAATGATCAGACGGATCACCTGATGGTAAGCGATCAGCGCCGCCCATGGACACCCGCAACACCAGAGGAGTCACAAGTGCGTTTCCGGCCTTTTAAAAAGGAATACGCTCTTTTCTTGAAGGTTTGAAAGTCGTATCGGTTCGGAAATACCGCCGACGACAGATCATTCCACAGTTTTGCTATGCGAGGCAGAAAGCATCGTGAGAAGCGCACAGTTGTTGCCTGCCAACCATCTAAATGGTGATGCATATTCTGTCGTGAGGGTCGATGGCGAAAAAATGCGGCAGGTATAAGGTGAAACAATTCCTCAGGGCACTCCCCGTTGTATAAGCGATAGAAAATGTACAACGAGGCTACATCTCTACGCATTGCCAAAGGGTCTAGCTGGTTCGAAACATCCCGATATCTAACTATCCGAACGGCACGCCGCTGAACGTGATCCAGAGCAAGAAGCTGGTACTGGGGTGCCCTCGCCCAAAGATGAGAACAGTATTTCATGTGGGGCCGCACCTGTGCCTTATATAGAAGCAGGCAGTGGGCCGGGGTAAAATACTGTCTCGATCTGTTGAGCTCACCAAGCTTCCTCGAGGCTAATTTGGCCTTACCCTCTAGATGACCACGAAACTGGACGTCGCTCGAAATGCTGACACTAAGTATTCAAATACCGGCTGAGGCAGTTAGGGGGGTGCTTTGAAACTGAGGAGATACGACCAACGGCAGTTTTTTAGCGGTAAACACGCAGACCTGTGTCTTAGTGGGGTTAAATTGGACCAAATTAAGTCCACCCCAATCAGAGATTCTCCCTAAAGAGGTCTCGATTTCAGACACGAGTCTGTTTTGGCTTTCTATGACGTTTTCCCGAGAAATGTTAGCGCGGCCGGTCTAGTAGGCATCGCCTGTGCTGTCATCCGCATAACAATGAATGCCGCTGATTTGCAACATGTCACTGATATGTATAAGGAATAATGTAGGCGATAGCACGCTGCCTTGAGGGACGCCTGCGTTTACAGACAGCAAGTCAGAGCATTCATCGTCGACAACAACCTTAATGCTTCTGTCTGCAAGGAAGCAAGAGCCCCATTCGCATAATTTCTCGGGAAGCCCGTAGGAAGGAAGCTTCGAAAGAAGCGCTCTGTGCCAAACCCGATCGAAGGCCTTCGCCACGTCCAAACTTACTGCCAACGCTTTCCCATTAGACTCGATCGCCTGTGCCCACCGGTGCGTTAGGTAAACTAGAAGATCAAATGGTGTCACTCCGGTTGAGTCGGCTCATTCGTGCCGAAGCATGGCTCTCCCACACTTGAACTAAACAGCCAGAACTTATCTAATAATAAAATTAGACGTTCAAATAAAAGTTCGATGTACCTATAATGATTTGTCTACCTACCTTCCTTAACAATTGAGGCATAAACAAGTTGAGTAGTTATTTCAACTCGAAGTGAACTCGTCATTCGGTGTCAATAAGCTAAAGTTACAAGAAAATTGTTAGAAGCAATATCTAGAGGACTTTTATTTATACAATAAGTATTTTTAGTGCCCAAATTAACGTTCGACGCCTTGTAAATTTTCCATCAAAAATAAACTATTTACGTCAAATAAATTCGTGGTAATTCTGTTAACTACCACGCAGTTGAGTTTAAAGGACTTTTAAACGTTGTTTTTATTTCGCTGAGAAATCACTGACTGCATAATCCCGCCCACGTAGTTACCAGTGTGCTGGGGAATGAAATGCAACGCTCTTACGTGAAATGCTGATAACAAGCTTCTATTTCTGTTCCATACCGAATAAGCCGTCTTTTGTTCTCATTCTGAGAAATAATCTGTAAATACACCTACCTAGTTTGTATGGGTTTTAAAAGTGAAGGTAGAGGTATAAAATATATGTTGAAAAGTGATATCTATATAGTATATTTACGTAGGTAGATATGAACCCGCATCATGTGTCTTTCAGAGAATCTTTTTGTTGTGTTATTAATAAGTTTTGAGATTTATAATACGTAGGCAAAAAATCAAGTACGTAATTTTCGTGGTGGCTTGGAGTTTCAGATGCCAAGTTTAGAGGTATGAAGGTATATTATAGACACCATGGTATATTGTTAGGGAAAAAATCATGGCATTGGTGTAGCAGTCGGCGAAGTAGTGGCGTAGCATTCAGTGTAGCAGAGGCATATCATTCAGCGTAGAGACGGCGTAGAAGCGGTAGTAGCCGTATCAGTAGATGTTTTACTTAAAAATCTGAACTCTGTCGCATCTTACGTGGTCCACGTATGTGTAAGATGAAGTGATGGTGTAATCCAAACTGAATTCATCCAAATTCAATCCATTTCGAATAACGTAACGCTTTTACCCGGCGCGGAAAATGTAAATCGATTCCGAACTCTTATTACACATACTTAACAAAGAACTATATTCAACTAACGAGTCAGTTTTAGCTTTAAAAAAGTTTATTTTACGTTGAGGTTATAAAGATTTTATTGTCCGACAGAATTAATTTATTCAATGACATAAAAAGTTACACAAAAACTTACAGACAATGCGCAAAGGTAACCTTTTATAAATTACGATGAGATTCATCAAGACATTTTCACACACACGTCCACCTCAGTTATTTACGTTTAATAAGCAGCCTACTAATTATCAGCTCATTAAGTTTTCATAATTTATTAATGATGCACTAGGTAGTTTAATTAACGTTAGAGAGCCGCCCTCCGCGGTGTAATTATTATTTTAATCTATGATATACGTCCGGGAGGGCAGACGACGTGCTTGCCGCTTAATTGTGCGGATTATCGCGAATCTGTCGTCGGCGACACGCGCGATTGATGTCGTCTCTGCATTTACCTATCGATTACTCTTTACTGGGGCGTCACCGCCACGAAGCCACTTACACGAGCCTCCCATCTTGTACCTGTATACTTGTTTTAACCCTTCGACCTTGAATTAATTTGTATTCCCTACGATTCCCCTAGGTTCAAGGTTAGCATCCCCACAAATCTCCTTGCAAGCTTTGATTCTACTCCTATCTTAATTAACGTTGGTACTTAACTTCATTAATTAAAATAAACTTTCTTAAACGTTGTAACGAAACGTATCTCGAAGCATGATATGTTCGCGCGGGGCGCCGGGCGCGCACAACTTTATATAGCGATCATTTGTGTGATAACATGAACGTTTCTCTTCAATAAATATGTACTTAGCTGTATAAACGGTGAAAGATTTTTCAATTTCGTTCTACGTCTGGATTTAAGTATTTTATAAGCCCCTTTTCTAGGTATTTTCGTCCAAATCCCAATCGAGTTGAGTGATACGATTATTTTCACGTTAATCTTCAAACCTTCACCAGTCTAAATATTGGTTGACGACAGTTGTACTTACTTTGGTGAAGTAAACGTCGTCATCAAGATGAGATGGAGCTGAAACTATCATACTATAATTTGCTTTGCTTTTGTTGATGAAATATAATTTTACTTTAAAAACCACGTGTGTTTGTCAAAGTTAACTAAAGAAGGAGAATAATTTTATAAAAGCAAGCCACGACCAACTTTTTCTTCAAAAAAAGCAAAGTGTCTCCTCATTTCTGCCACTGGACGTGATTTAGGGCGCAGTGCGGTGGGGCACATCACGCATGGAAAAGCACAGAGCAGTTAGATAAACAGTGCTTGGTGTTTGTTGATACTATTTAGAGCAATATCAGGATACGCAGTTCCTGGGGATTTCTAAATCCTATAATAATTCTAAAAATAAATGACATACATTGCGTAGGACTTTTATGAATTAATGTGAGTCGTAGTTTGGCTATTATTGAATTGCGTTCTAGATAGTCGTCCCCGACACGTCACTCTTATTTATTCACACGAAGGTACAATTTGTTTTTCTAACCTTTAAAAAAGGTTGTTGAACACAATTTGTGTAGACGAGGCTGAGTGTTGCAAAACCAAGGGTAGTTAATGAAAACAGTAACAACTTTCAGTTTGTTTGTAGGCTTTACGCGAGCTTTGGCCATTACAAAACAATCATTATTCAGAGGTAAACGCAATGTCATGCTGATTCATGTTAAACTTGACTTTTGAACAAAAGCTCTGCGTCCATCGAGGGGACATGACATGTGTCTGACTGACGAAGGCTGCATGCCGAAAGAAACTGATGAAAAGGCTCACCTTTGTGCCTATCTGAGTGAGGATGCTGCAAAGCGAAGGACCCGTGATATTGGTGAGCGGATGCGGGGCGGGGTTGTCGAAACGGGGTTGAAGGTGCGGCGCGCGGAGGGCGGCTACCATCCGCGCAGGGCGGGCGGGAGGCACGTAACAAGTGAAGCGGGCCCGGGAGCAACAGTCTGCCGCAGCCCGGCCACGCGGCCTCACACACCTCGCTACTGTCGCACCCCGCCGCTTCGGAGCGCGCACCCCGCGTAAGTAGCGTTTTCCCGATTTAATTATTTACCTTAGTCCGGCTGATGCGTCGCCAGCACGCCGGCCACCGCCGAGCCTTCGCTCGTACGCTGCGCTCCGCCGCCGCTCCGAGCACTCCATTATCGCGCTCATATAAGAAATCGTAAACGCGCATCCATTCTTCAGTGGATGTCTGCTATATAACTGTACCTGTTGAATGCATGACGAAGTAACATATACCCCGATGTTTCTTTACCAAAGTATTTATTTGATAACTGTTGCAATATTACTTGCTATTTTATAACTTATTCAGATCTTACTCAACTAATTTCTGTCCAAGCGCTGTTTGTATCGCGTATTAAATTCGGTTCCACGTAGATGTTGGGTATTTGAAAACGTTGTCACGTTCCGTCATGATACCTGTAATTTGGGAGTATATAGCTTTAGTCATTATTCTTATCTTACAATTTCCTTCGCGCAGAAATCTCATAAAGTTACTCTAGAGCACCAAGTCTGGTACGCAACACTATGGTTATGAAGTCAGTCTTTTAAAAGTTTTTTTAGGTACTGTCCTCCGTTCAATTATATTTCCACCCATTATCTCATTTCAAAAAAGATATTTTTTGACTGCTTTAGGAAACTCATTTGAAATGTTGTCCTTTGTTTAGCATTTTGATCCCATACGTTTTATTTGTAAGGTTGTTTGGATGAAACTATATTATTAGGGCAGAGAACCTTTTTTATCCGTTTGGATCTATAAAGTTTCATTATTACAAATCGGGTAGTTAAGTAAATACTTACTTGTATCTTCTCAACGAATGAAGATTAAGTACTTGAGAGTAAAAGAAGCGAAAGAACAGAAGTAGCTACACAATTGAAGCACACCTCGGCCGTCGCGACGCCCGTGAAGAAAGATTCACAACTCGGAGATAAGATAACAATGAATGTTCGCAAACACTCGCTATAATTGGAAACCCTTGAAGTCCTTTTGATGTAAGACGACTTTATTAACGTGATGCACAAAGAGCGAGTTTGATTAAAGACGGAAAATTGGACATGTTGTACGAATCGTAGCAACATGGACTCCTTAATGTTTTTACAAAAAAAGAGACAAGAGAAATCGCTTTAATAAAAATATGTTTTTGGGAGACAATTGTTGTGTACAATATTTGTTTTTCAAACAATAGAAACTGTTTCGTCGGTAAACGTGTTTCGCCCACGCGATTTAATATTTTTATTGTGAAGCTATATTTATGTAGATTCGCATGGCGCTGTGTATTGTGTCGCTAGTGTGAATTGTTACACATTTAGGACATTCATAGAAGGGTTTTATTAATACGCTGGAAAAAAAAATACATTATAACGCCTAACGCCTACTGGTACTTAGTAAATGTGGAGAATATAAAGAACCTGAACAACAACCTACACAATAAGTTGGTGAAGATGAAAGAGACTGGCTTTCTAATGAATGTGCTGTCATACTTTGTTCATACAGTGCAAAGTGGAGATAATGAGCATGAAAAATGTGTGCATTGTGAAGGGAGGGAAAATAAAAGTGAGGAACATTCTGCGACTAGCTCACGCTATAATTGGAGTCTGTATGTACTTAGTTATCAGTTCCACGTTCAACATGAGTATCATAGAGAGTTGAAACAACAAAAAGAGAATAAGGATGGTTTAAATATAAAAAAATCACTTTAGTAAATCTCTTCAGTAGTTGTGATTTAGCTGAATTTGTTGTTTCTCGAGAGGAGCGAGACTCGTCTGCGGCGTCAGCAGTGTTGGATAAAGTCTGCTGTCAGAAGCATTTCAAAATGAACGAAGCTCAGGCAAAGCAAGCTACGTTAGTAAACGTGACAACAACTAAAGCAAGCAAACCTAATTTTGGAGCGACCGGCCAAGCGGAAAAGGGAGCCTTTGCAATAAACGACCTTTGAAGTTTAAGAAAATGCTTTACATTTATAGCGCGATGAGTTTTGTGTACATACAATACCTACCTGCCTTCAGGCTAATTGTCTGCCAGTTGTTATGTAGGCGACCGGCTATTTCGCACTTTGTGAGGAACATAAAAACTTATAAATTTTATGGATTACTTTTCTAGGAAAATAAATAAAAAGAAAATGAAGACGGACTGCTCGTGTGTTTTGTTATAAAATGCTACAATTCCCAATCAAGCTACGTTTGAAATGTTCGATCCTTATTCTCAAACAATGGGTCTACTTATTTGATGAATCAGCGTATTTTAATGTTGATCATTTCTCCAATTATTCGTTGAAATCGCTTCGGGGTGTGACGACAGCTGTGAAATTTTCGTGTGAATTTTAATGTTACAGACCTATTTAATGTTTTTTATGGCGATATTTAATGTTAGGGCGCGTGGTCTACTTTCTCCTGACTTTTTCGTAACTAGGTAGGTAGCCTGAGAATGTGAGAAATCGTTTCAAAATTCCATCGGAATAGCTGTCAATAGATATTCAGAAGCACACTGAATTTCTACGTTTGTTTATAAAAGTTGTTTAAGAAAATTAAAAGACGTGGTGTTATCCGACTATGCGATGCTTTTAACTCTAGTCAGTACTTACGCAGAGTTATACTTCACAGTACCTGACTAAAATTAAAAGCTTAATTTCGTTGTTGTTATAAATTGATAAATATAATCAACAAATCGACCCTTTCCATTGTTTTAAGCGCTATTTTCATCACATTATTTGCGATGAGTTACAATATAACGTTCATCAACACGGCTATTGGATATAAGTTATTAAATAGTTCGGGAGAGCAATACGTCCAATTAGCGGAGCAGCCTCGACGCGGATGCAATATTGATTACATTCGCACCACCAGACACGTACCTACTCTTTGTTTGAGCGCTACGCCTACACGCTACACGTCAACCATATTTGATACAAGGGCGTTTCAAGCTTTGTTCTCGTTCCTATCAACAACCAAACTTCACCGCTTTGATTAAAAATTACACAGAACAGAATAGTAAATACTTGGAGCGTATAATATCGATCAGTGAGTAAAAAAATAATTTCCAGTGTTCGAGCCGTAACTTGTGAAGCATATTGCTAATGCCGGTCCGGGCCGACAGTAAAAAGATAAAAGCGAGCGGCCAGCGACGAACGTAGACAATAAAATGGGCTTATCGTTACAAAGGGTGTACTCCACCTGAAACGGTTCTTGTACTGTGGAACCTTATCTAATCTAATTGCAGGACAGGACTAGGCCTGGTTGTGAGCACGCCCACCAAAGCCAGCGACTTGTACTGACGTTTTGACCTAATTGACATGATATTGACGCTTGTCTAGACTATTTAATTAGCTTCATTATCGCCTAATTATTGATCAAGTAGTTTGTGTTTGTGACGCTTTTTTACATTTTATCGACTGACACACGTTATATCTATCTAGGTCTTGGGGTTTGAGGCGTTGCTAAAAACAATGGTTTAAAAACATATTTCTGTTTATAAATGATATTCTATTAAGACGCGCTTGTCTACCTACATGCACTATTTCAATGATATTCGCGCAATTTGTCTTTGTTTGTTTTGCGTTGGCAGTAACATACACCACTTATGCCTTACTTAGCACGGTCTGCGCTTAATATCAATTTAACATAATATAAACAACAAGTACGTACTCGCATTAATACCGAAACTGGTTCTATTTCCAACTGACATAAGTATACACCAGTTTATATTACAACACGTGTAACTTCAACTTAATTAAGTAATCTTGTCGAGTTCGTTTTTCGTTTTGGTTTGTTCCCCTTATTTTTTACTATCTACTTTTTTAATAAACCATCATAAAGAGTTGCTTTTAGTACACCCAAAGGGTATCCTGAAGATTAATTAAGAAAACACCCCGAGTGCTCGCAGCAGTATCCCGCTGTAGGTATTTTGTAAGGTTGCAATCTTATTATAATTTATTTTTTCTTTTAACACTCAAAGTTATTTACAATCGCGGCGTTCGCTTTCATTTCTTTGTGCCGCTGTTCAGGCCAAAACTTTTAAATATTTGTTAAAGTAGGTTAAATGGAAATTAGTACTGGACTTCTGGGAAAGGATTTCTTGGCCGTAACGTAATTAGTTTCCAAGCTTCTAATTGGTGTAGATTGATTTGTGCGCATAATGTAATAATGTGTACATTATTAATTAATTCAGAGCGTGGGTGTTATCATGCACACTTCGGTACACAACGCCACTATATCTAAATTATACGTTAGTTATTAATGTATTGTCATGGTAATCTATATTTAATTATCACTGTGAGCATGTAATTAGATTATTATTATTATTGAAACACAACGTGTGTCTCATGCAAATCGCACGCAAGATCAGATTAGTGTCTTCAGTCGTCAAATGGCGAGTGTTACATTTAGAATAGTGAATAGATTTGTTTAAAGAGACGACAGATATGCAAATACTCTAAGACCTCTTTGCTATTAACCTATTCTTGAAAGTGTTTGTTTTTTCTCTTCGATTTTCTCAACTGGGTTGAGGTGAGCACTGTATCTGACTTGGTTGGATGTCGGTTTTACGTCCAGAAACTGTCATTTGCCTTCCACAACCCATTAAGAGTACTTAGTAAATGTAGTTCTCTCTTCAATATTCTTCATAAGACTTAACAAAGGCCGTTTTTAGAAAGAGTTCTAACTTAAAATTTACTACCATTTTAGTATTCAGACGGTTCTGTAATAAATTGGTACCAATACGATAAATAGTTGCCGGTGAATACGTAACAAACATAAGTTTCCACTTTGTTTAATAATATTGCATTAGTATGATGTCGACTTGACCTAGTTATAATTTGATAATAATAACAGCGACTCACCATTAAGGTGGAGACCAGTCCACACAACGTTGAGCATTCAATAACGTGTAAACACACTGCTCTCAGGGCGGCAGTCCATTATTTACGAAATTCTCCCCATTTCAAGGGACACACTCAAGAAATTATATTTAGAAGAGAATGAGATTTTAACGACTCATTTGTTAGGAGATTCCAAATATTTTATG